ATTTATTTATTTGTGTGGCCAGCTCAGCCCACCAGGGGGCGGGGCTGGCTGGCATGTGGTGCTGGGGGATTGAACTGAGGTCTCTGTGCTTTGCTAAGCTTGTTCTAAGTAGGTGCTTTAGACCCCTGAGCCATCTCACCAGCCCCTATTATGGAAAGCAAAAAGAGAAAAATAAGAAAATGAGAAAGAAATAGATGGAACAGCAGTGAAAAATTATAGACATGAAGGAAAGAAATGGAGAGATAGAGTAAGAGAGAAAAATAAATAGAGGGAGGGAAGAAGAAACAGAAATTATGAGAATCACAGCAAGATAGAGACTGGGAGGCAATGATGACAGAGGAGCTAAAAGATGACAGAGTGAGAGGAGACAGGGTAGGAGGAAGGAAGGGACTCTGCCCCAGGTTGCCTCACCCCTCACTCCCCATTGGCACCCTCCATGTGCCTGGTCCCACCGTAGATGGGTAGGATGCAGGGTAGACCAGGCTGTCTTTCTGTCCAGGCTGTCCTGTCCTGCTGGACTGGGCCCCTCCATCCTTCTCCCTCTGATGCCTCTGAGGGTTGCCATGGAAGGAGACAGGGTGGGAACAGAGCCTGTCCTGTAAGCAGACTGACGTGGCTACTCGGGTGGAGTATGAGTAGAAAACCCAGTGACACCTTCTCTGGAGGCCTGAGCAAGCTCCAGCCTGCCTCCCTTTGGGGCCCGGATGAGAAGGGACCTCAAAGATCAACTCCACTATACATCTCACTGTGTAGAGGGACAAACAGGCATAGATAGATGACAGAGGCAGGGAGGAGCTCAAAGCTACACAGCCAGGTAGTGGCCTAGCCTCTAGTCCCAGGATCTCTATCCAGACAGCTGAGAGATATCACATGCTGTGACCTAAAAATTTTGAGACTGACTTTCTCTTAAGAAAGCTGCTTCCCACTCACAGGTATCCTGAGGCCTTAGTGACAGTGTTTCCTGCATCAGGTGCTGTGCCAAGAGTCTTACCCAACCTGTGAGGTGACTACGATGATTATGTTCATCAAACAGAAGGGGAAACTAAGGCATAGAAAAGGTTGCTAAGCCCCACGTCACACAATGGCAGCATGGAAACTGAATCTAAGGATCAGCCAAATAGCTCAGCAGATTAAAGTGCCTGCTTAGGCAGAAGCAGGGGCTGAGGGTTCAATCCCTGGGCCTGCCATGCCAGCCCTGCCCCCGGGGCTGCTGAGATGATAATTGAGACTGGGCATGGTGGTGCATGTCTGTAATATCAGCACTTGGGAGGCTGTAAATAGGAGGATCACTACGAGTCCGATCTACATAGTGAGACCCTAAACACCCTGTAGACCTTGTACTAAATACAAAAAAAAAAAAAAAAAAAAAAAAAAAAAAAAAAAGAAAAAAAGAAAAGAAAAGAAAAGAAAAAGAAATAAAAGGAAAAAGAAAGAAACTGAGTCTAGCAGACCTCCAAAGCTGGGTGCCTCCTGTGCTCCCCAGCCTCCTTGTGTGATGGGAATGAAAGAAGTCTGTGATGTGAAAAAGGGGTGCAGAGGTGGGTAGCAGTTCCTATGAAAGGAGAAAGACCAGAATAAGGGTTTATCTCAAATGTCAGAACTCTTCTTGGGAGATCCAATTTGGTGTAGTTGTGTTCTTGCCTTTAGGAGCCCCGTTTCCCTCCCATTCCTGTCACCACTTGCTCTATTCCACATCCCCTTTCCCAAGTTCTGGAAAGGAGTTTAGCTCCTGGGCTACACACATCCTTTTTTCCTTGTCTTCCTTGTGGGCAGGCAGGACCCTTTGGAACACAGGCCCAGGCTGGTTCTGAAGTCTTAGACATGGGCCTGCCCACCCTGCAATCTCCTCCTCTCTCTGCTGCATACCAAACTCCCACTCCCCAGCTCTGTCCCTGGCTCTGCCTCCCAGGGCTATTCCTCCTGAAGAGACTTGGAGATTGAAGGGAAACAGTAAGCTAACAGGCAGATGTACACAGAGACACATCTCTATCCTGGCCAGCCTTGACTCCCACCTGAGCTCCCCAAAAGCTATACTCCTAAGCTCTAACCCCTCCCCAGCTGGGGTCAGTCATCTGAGGTTTTTGCGTCCTTACAGAGCCTCAGTTTCTTCACTTGTACTGTGGGTACAAGTTGTCAGCTTTACCAGATGGCAGGAAGCTGTCTGGACTTGGGAGACACAGGAACAAATCCTGGGTATATCCCCTCCTTAATGGAGAGACTCCTTCCTCTTGAAGCAGTATGACATGGGCTAGATCCCCCAGGTGGCCACCGTCCATACATAGAGGTGGGTGTAGATCTGGCCCCTACTCATTCTCTTCTCCAGAGCACTGGCCCGGCTCTGTGCTGTTTGCTAGGGCCACTCTTGCTGTGTCATCCCGTCCATTAATTTGGGAAAGCAGCTGCTAAGCCAGGCCTGTACTTGAAGTCTCAGAAAGTGGGGAGCCCTGGACCACTGCCCCTGGTTATATCAAGAACCTAGACTAGGAAGGATTATGGGAGTCCGGGCCTGCGGCTAAGCACTTCCTTTTCCAGAGTCCTTGGGAACTCCCAGGGTGGTAACCCAGAGCCCCAGCCCTATCCTTACCTCTTTCACCCAGCTCTGGCCCAGGTCCATGGCTTCCTGCTAATCTGATGGAAGAGTGTGTGACAGCCACCCCTGGGGTGGGAGGGAAAAAGGACAGGTTTTGGGAGCCTCCTCCAAGCCCCTGAACCCTTTTCCTCCTCCAGGCAACACAGCACCCTGCTTGGCCCCTGCCCCCATGGCCCAAAGCTTTGGCTTCCACAATCCTGTCCAGGCAGGACTGGCTGCAGGTGCCTGGATGGTGACGAGAAGGGCAGAGAGAGTGGAGGCGTGAGCCCTGCAAGTGCACTCCTCAGCCAATCAGCAGCCTGCCTGGCTGGTCGATTTGGTTACAAGCCCAAGATCACCCCACACTCCTTCCTCCTTCTGCTGCAGCTTCATTCATTGGCCCCGCCACACGGGCCACAGAGCCCTGCTGGGTATTGCTTCCGGCTGCTAGCTGCTGCCTTGTGGGCTGCCAGGGATAGGCATCAGGGGGCTTTGTCTGACCAGACTGAGCTTAGTTAAAATGGGGGTTCTGGCAGTGATGTTGGGGGTGCTGGGCTTCTTGGGGGTGGCTCCAGTTGGTTTTGCTGCCTACTACTGGGGCAACACCTCCTGCCACTACTGGACCAAACGCGTTCCTGGCAGCCCTCTGGGGTCCCTCAGCTTCCTTAGCAAGGATGCCCAGGGTCTGGCTCTGTTCCATGCCCACTGGGATGCTCACGGAAGGCTGCAGGTATGCAGCAGGCAGGATGAGCTGGAGCTCATTGAAGTCTTCAGTGACCTCTGTGCTCGTGAGCCCACCCGAGGCTTCTTTATCCACACACCAGGATCAGAGCTGCTGAGAGCACTGGCCACCCTGTACAGTCAGTGGGAAACCTGCCAAAGGCCTTCCAGGCCCAGGGTAAAGCGAGCAGCAGAGCCGAGTGGAGCACCAGGCAGAAGGCACTTGCGAATGAAGAGAGGATGGACCATTCCTGGCACTTTGTGGTGTGGAGTTGGGGACTCTGCTGGGAACTCCTCAAAGCTGGGTAAGCTATGGGGTATGGCTGGGCATCTGACTGAGGCGGTGAGGCAGCACAGGCTTCAGCCCCTGGCCTCCACTTTCTCAGGCTTTTCTAGAGGAATAATTTCACCATTTGGAACTCAGTTTCCTTATATGTAAAATAGGGATGACCATGAGTGTCATCATGGGATGCTTAAATGAGGATGGAAAAAGTTTTACACAAATCTGGGAGTCCCTATTAATCACCATCTGAAGGAAAAGGCAGGGTGGGGTGGGCCCAGGGTTTTCTGAGCCAAAAGCCACTACCACAAGGAGGCTTTAGTAGAACAGATGCTGGAACCTGAAGAACTGGAGTTGAATCCCAGCTCAGCACATCCACACTGAGCAATTCAATTCTCCTCAATGAGCCCACTTTCTCAACGGTAAAACTAAAGTGATACCTCCCTTGGAGGGCTGCTATGAGCTTGGGTGTGGGAAGTACTAGGTATTCTGGATTTGCCCAGTGCAGGGCACTATGGCTTTGACAGAGATGGAATGCTGTTTACATCTCCATGGAGGGTTAGGGAGAATTTGCCACCTGATTGGGGCAGTTTAGCATCCTGCCTGTTTGCCATTCCATGCCATTTACATTCAAAACATAGGAATGTGACCTCAGGAATACTGCAGGAATATGCCAATTCCTTTGAGGAACACCTTCCTCATGATCTAGGGTGGGCTGCACAACACTGGGAATTGCCCAAAGGGTCTGCCAGATGTCTGAGCGTGCTATGTAAGCTTTGAAATTATGAGTTTCATAGAGGGAAGATGATTGCTCTGAGTTCACCCAGGGGGTTTCTGTCATAGCTGGCCTGAGAACCAGGACTCTGCCTTCTTGAGACCAGATAGGCATAGCCATGTTGCCCTGACCCCTACCGAGTTGGTGCCCCTTTTTTTCACACAGGGCTCTTCCAAGGAGCTGATCTCTGCTGCCGGGAACATGACCACTGCCCACAGACCATCTCACCTCTGCAGTACAACTATGGAATTCGAAACTTTCGATTCCACACCATCTCCCACTGCGACTGTGATGCCAGGTTGGCAGAAGGCAGGGAGGGTCTGGGGCTCGGGGACAAGGCGACACCCAGTTCTTGAATGTAGACACTAGGATTCCAAAGAATCCCAAAGATCAGCCAGTCTGGACTCCATTGTGCAGGTGGGAAAACAGACCCAAGAGAAAGAATTCTTGTACCCCAAACCATGTAGCTAGTAGTAGGAAGGTTGGCTGTGGGAGGGGTTAGGAGGCTCTGTGGAATCCAGGAACCTGAATACCAGCTCTGCCACAGGTTCCAGGAATGCCTGAGGAACCAGCATGACTCCATTTCAGACATCGTGGGTGTGGCCTTCTTCAATGTGCTGGAGATTCCCTGCTTTGTGCTGAAGGAGCAAGAAGCGTGTGTGGAGTGGTACTGGTGGGGCAGGTATGTGGCTGCCCCTCTTGAGTCCTTTCCCAGTCAGTGGGGTAGCCCTGTTTCCAGCCTGGTGAGGGAGGCCTGGCTGGCTGTCCTCCAGGGAATGATGTCTTGTTGGTCTTGTCTTTTCTTTAAGGAAGGGCTTAGGGTGCAGATCCTTCTCAGGTACCTTCTATAACCAAGGGAGGTGGGAGATGGGAGTGGCAGACACTTGGTCTCTATGACAAAGACCCTGAGGGCTTCTGGAAGCAGAGGTTCACAGTGACCAACTGTCACCAACTGCTACCTTCCAGGTGTAAGACATATGGCTCAGTGCCCCTTGCCCACCTCCAGCCCAGGATCTTTTACAATGCTTCTTGGAATTCCCTGGCCACCTCCATGCCTCCCAGCTCCCAGAGCCCACCCCCCACTAAGCCACAAGGGAAGCAGCACTCTCAGAAGAGGCGGATGCAGCAAAAGGGGTCTAGGCAGCCCAGCACAGCCAATGCCACAGTCTTCCAGGCTCCTGTGGTCTCCTCCAGACCTGATGTAACCCTTACAGCCCAACTGGTAGTCCCTCATCCAGCCCGCCATGGTCTACAGGGTGGTCCCAAAGCTCAGCGTAAGTTGAGTCTAATCTTGGGAGTTTCTGCCACTATGTGCACGGAGTTAGTGTTGGGTGGGGGACATGTGTTGTTTCTTTCCTGCTCCAAACACCTCCCAGAATATCCCACCCCTGAGCTACATCTCCAGCTCATAGGGATGCAACGAGAATTTTCATAACCACAAATCAGGCCATGTCACTGCCCACTGAGCCCCACCCCACTACTGTCATGGATCCTTTTTATTTTTATTTATTTATTTTGTATATTTTTTAGGGAAAGGTCTACAGGGTATTCAGGGTCTCACTACTATATTGGACTCATAGTGATCTGCCTGTTTACAACCTCCCAAAAACTGGGATTACAGGCTTGCGCCACCACGCCCAGTCACAATTGCAGTATCAGTTGCCCTGGGAGCAGGGCCAGCACAGGAGGCCCGGGAATCGAACCCCTGGCCCCTGCACCTGCTTGCAGGCCCTTTAATCCACTGAGCTATTTGGTTGGCCCTGCCGTGGATCCTTTTTAAACTCAGCTGATAGAGTTCCAGCATCCAGAGGCCCTCGGCCTCTACATACTCTATCTCCTAGTTTAAACTCCATTTGTACCAACTTCATTTGGTTCCTGCAAGGGCTGGGGATATAGCTCGGTGGTAGAATGAGATAACCTGCCTCCTCTCATCTCAGAGCTATGGCCTATGCTGTTCTGTCCGCCTGGAGCCCTGTCCTCTCCCTATTCCCTCCCAGCTTCAGCTTAGCAGTCTCGTCCCTCTGTGCTCTCCTATGGTGGCACTGCTGTGTGTATGAGTGCAGCAGATAGAGGGAGATGTTTGTGTGACTGAGCATGTGTGCTGGTGTTTTTCCTGAGTGGGGCCAGGTATTGGTGAGGCTTGTTAGTGGACTGGGCTCCTCTCACCACCACACATGTCCCTAGGCACCCGCTGGGCCTGCAGCAGCTTCCGCCTCCTGGACCAATGTGGACACCAGATCAGGCCTCAGGAAACCAAGTTCCAGCTGCTGAACAGTGCCCAAGAGCCCCTCTTCCACTGCAATTGCACACGCCGGTGAGACCTACTGGCCCCCTTAGGGGTGGGCTGTCTGCTGCCAGGCACTGGGCAGGGGTACCTTGCTGGCAAGGTCCTGTCTCAGCGTAAGCCTGCCTTTGCTTGCAGCCTGGCACACTTCCTGAAGCATCACAGATCACCTGAAGGTGCCAACATGCTTTGGAAACGGCTGGGCACTACCTGCTTGAAGCTGGCCCCTCCACTGGACTGTGCTCAGGAGAAAGGGTAAGCAATGGCAGAACCAGGAAGGAAGGGGAGCTTTCCCCATAAGCTGCATTGCTTGGATAGCAATTGTGTGCCTGGACCAAGGGATGGGGAAAGGGCCAGGGAGCTCCACTGTTGTCACTTCCCTCACTTGCAGTGCCCCGAGTCCAGCTCTGCAGTTGGCCTGCAGTATCTTAGTGCCATCAAGCCTCCACTACCTCATTTGTAGAATAGCTGTAGAGGTCAAGGAGACTGCTTGACAGTTAAATGATTTTTTTTTTTGGTGATACTGGGGAATGAACTTAGGGCCCTGTACATACTTGAACACAAAATGTAGCAAGGCTGGCCTTGAAATCACAGTGATCCTCCTTCAGACTCCCAAGTGCTGGGAATACAGTTGTGCATCACTTCTCCTGGCTCTTAATGCTTACTCCTTATTTATTTGTTTACTTGTGTGTGTGTGTGTGTGTGTGTGTGTGTGTGGCCAGCTCAGCCCACCAGGGGGCGGGGCTGGCTGGCATGTGGTGCTGGGGGATTGAATTGCAGTCCCTGTGCTTTGCTAAACTTGTTCTAAGTAGGTGCTTTAGACCACTGAGTCATCTTACCAGCCTTAATGCTTACTTCTAATCCACAACCTCTCTCTCTCTCTCTTTTTTGTCTTTTTGAGACAGGGTCTTGCTGCGCAGTTCAGGCTGGCCTTGAGCTTACTTTGTAGCTCAGGCTGGTCTCAAACTCACAATGATAATCCTGCCTCAGCTTCCCAAGTGCTGGGATTACAGGTGTGTGCCACCATACCTGGCTCACACAATCTTATCTGAATTGTGATTCTCAAAGCCAGTTCCCTACAATTTCCCATTTTACAGATGAGAAACAAATTGAGGCCCAAAGTGAGGTACAACCAGCTATAGAAGAGCCCAAGCCACTGGATACCAACCTGGGTTTATTCTTCTCCCTTCTAGATGTAGTGTCTTGCTAGTGACCCTGAGCCTTGCCCTGCTCCTTCCTAGGCCTCCATTTTCCTGTCCGTATAGCAAGGTAGGATTCGACAAACCCTGACCACCTGCCTTCTCCTTACCTGACAGCTGCTCCGGAGAACCTAGAGCCATCAAGGTGTCAGCTCGGCACTTGTTGAAGCTTCAGCAAAGACAACTCCAACTCCAGGATAAAGGCACTGATAAGGGGCAGGCATGGCCTTTGCAACCCCCCATGTCATTCTACAACCAGTGCCTGCAGCTAACTCAGGCAGTCTGGAGACCCACAGGGCAACAAAAGTTCTAGTCAGTGATCTCAGTTCCAGCTTTCCTAGGCACCAGCTTGCACCTTGTCCCTGGCTTCCTAGGACTCTTGGCTTCCTCTCCATACATTGGACTGCAGCATGGTAGAGGCTGTTGAGGACAGCCAGGAGGCTCCATGGGGTGGGGGGTGCACCAGGCCCAAGTGCTGGACCACATTTCCTGCTGTGCTGGAGGACCTTGAGCTGGTGACACAACCTCTGTGTCTGGATATGCTGTTCAAAAGGCTCACTCTGATGAGCTTGGGCCTTGACTGAGAAACACACAGATGGAGATGGGGAGAGAATAACTTACTGCAGCATCACCAGCGGGTTCCAAGAAAAAGTACATGCATATCCATGCCACGGCATTAATGTATAGCTCAAGAAGCTTAGGGGAGCCCCAGCGCCTGGCTACGAGACCAGGAGCAGCAGGTAGGAAATGAGAGAAGTCACAGAAATGCCTACATCTGAATCCAGGATGGGGGTGCTGGAAAGTAGCCTTTCCAAGTCTGCTTCTCCCAGGGAGGCTCTTTGTTTTAATAGGTGTTTTGTCTTTCCTAGTCCAGACCTGGACTATTCTTTCTGTCCTAAACCTAAATTCAAATCTCTATGCTCTCAGGCAAGGAACCTCCCTCTCCGTACTCTGACTCTTGGTTCTCTCATCTGAAAAAGGTGATTGTACACATGAACTACCTCATATATATATTCAGTTAACACTTAGTAAACATTTTCTCCCTTCAGCACCCAGCCAAAGAGTTTGCTCTTGAGAGGCTGACATAATCTCTTAGAGGCCTCAGTTTGCTCATTTGTAAAATATTTCTAGGAATGGCACAGAGCCCACAAGGTTGTGGTATGGATTAGAGATGGCATGTATCCTGTATATAATTGGTGCCTGGTAAATATTAGTTCCGTCATTCCCATGCCTCTTTAGTCCCTGCTTCTGGCTGACTACCCCCAGGCCTGAATTGCTAACAAGTTAGGAAGGAGCCAGGAGTGAAGCTGGAGAATTTAATTCCTGATGGATGATCTCCGGGATTGGGACATCTGCCAGATTTTCCCCACCATCCTAGATAGGGGCCCAGGTAGGGCTTTGCTGATTGTCACAGCTGAGGTGCCAATTGACCACCCTTGGCCAGGACAGAGGCAGGTACTGATATAGCTGGAGTGGCAGCAGGAGAGAGGCAGGTGGGTTTATGAAGAGTGAGGCAGTGTGGGGCCAGCTGAGCCCTTCTGCCTACCTTGCCCTCAGGGTCCCAGGCCCTCTTCCTCCAGCCCCTTCCTTCCCTGAGGGCTAGGAGACAGGCTATCAGGGTCAGAGGCTTCCTGCTCAGGTCCCCAGGGGCCGCCACCACCAGGATCTACAGTCTCTAGGCGCAAGGCAGGCAGCAGGCCCAGGCTTCGAGGTACAGTTGCTGGGAAGGCCCAGGGTCCAGGCAGCCCAGAAGGCCCTTCTTCACTACTGCCTCGGCTGCTGTTGCCATTGCTCCTGCCACTACTCCTATCAGGGGCCATGCAGGATAGCTGGCGGCTCTGGGGTGAGGGGCTACGACTGGCACCTCGGCGTTCACGGGATGAGGGCCGGAGGGCAAAGCTGGGGAAACGGGCCAGTCCTGGGCTGCGGCTACGGTGTCGCTTGGACTTGCCAGGACTGGGGCTGCGGGACTTGGGTGCGAGCAGCTCCAGAGTGCTGTCATCCTCACCCTCCGAGGAAGTGCCCGAGCTGTCTGTGCTGCTGCTGGTTGACTCCGAGGTAGGCAGAGAGATCTGGGGGGAATGCTGGTCACTGGGGCATCCCACTCCACATGGCCATCGAGACCTTTTTGAACCACTTCCCACCTCCCCATTGGCAGACCTTCTGGTCTGGCTGTTGGTTTGATGTCACAGAGCAGAATGTGGAAGGCTGTGGCATTTGATAGGGCCTTTTGCTTCTCCCTGTGAACCCTACAGTATGACCTGTTTACCTGGAAGGGTTCAGTGACACCGATGAGGATGCTGTGGTTGTGACTGTAATAGCCCAGGATGAAGTCTCCGTGGCCCTTGGGTAGTGATTCCTCACTGAATGTCACCTGGTAGACCCAGGGATACAGGCCCAAATTGGAGTCAGGGGGCAGGTTCAGGACCCCCCCAAGCTAAGTCCTGAGTTCCCCAGGGCAATGGGAGTTTCCCCTTCTTCCCCTCCTTTTAAGTACCTGGTAGATATTCCCGTCCACATCTTCATGTTTGGCCCAAACATAGGCCACATAATCTTTGCAGTGGCGGAAACCCACCTGGGGCAGGAGGAATCAGGATTGTGACTCCTAATTCTAATCCCAGTAGTCTACCAGAGTATATTTAAACTCCGGACCAGCCAGTGACCCAACCCTGCCTCCATACCTAGCTGTTCCCCAAGGCCCCTTCCTCCCCTAAGACACTGACCTCCCCTACCCTGCTCACCCGGTACAAGCCGATCCAGTCCCAGGAGCTGCGGGCAAACACTGTTTCCATGCGGTACCTCACCACAGCCTGCTCTGGCCGTACCCACTCATCTGCCACCTCCAGCCGTACCAGTGGCACGTCGTCCCTGAAGGCAAACTGCCCAGGCAAGGCAGGGAAAAGGGCAACATAAGGGGAGACTCCGTAGCATCCCACACACCCAAGGCTCTTAGGCCAGTGCAAATTAGTTGAAATGAGGGTACTTTGAGGTTACTTCGTAGACTAAGAAACAAAGACAGAACAGAACTAGGAGAAATATCAAATGTTCTGCCTCCCAGCCCAGGGTTCCTTCTGTTGATAAGCTTCTTAGGGAGTGAGTGGAACACAGCTTTGAAGCTGGTGCATTGGGTCTGCCATTAGCAGGTTATGCTGTAGGCATGTTTCTGTCTCTCTGAATACCAGAGCCCTTATAAATAAACTTAGAGGTTCTTATTTAGTACCTGGGATTGTTCTTACTGATTAAGATATCATTTGTAAAGCATTCTCTACATTTCCCAGTGTAAGGTGCTCAATAAATGATTTGCTTACATGCTAGTAAGAGACATTGGTAAAGTCTGATAACATGTTGGGTATTCTGGGGTAAGGTGAACATCCCTGAGCAGGCAAAAAGAATCTTGGGTGGTTAGGTAGAGACAGTTCATTTCTAACGCCTGCCACTAACTTGCTATGTGACCTTACATGAGGCTCTTGCCACCCCAAGACTTAATTTCTCTACCTGAATCCTATGTAGTGAGGGCCCACTAACAATTGTCTTGTCGTTAGTCCATGAAGACATTAGAACCCTGAGTATCATTTTCCCAGGGCCAACCAAGCCAACCAGGGAGACACCAGAATGAACGAAGTGGCTGGGGCAGCTATGGTACTGGCTCCACCTGTGTCCCTAGGGAAAGGAAAAGTTCAGGTGGTGCCAGACTCAGACTTTTTTCTATTCCCCATTGGTCTAGTTTCAGCTTCCCTGCTACCCCAGGGCTTCTAAGCCAAGATGTTCCAGAAGTAACTGGCACATTCTCACCCTGTCCCTGGGTTGAATAGCTAATGGGCTACCTGAAATGCCTTCCAAGGGCTCACAAGGTCAAAGCCCTGTTCTGACCGTGCTGCCTTGGACCTGTTCTCTGAGCCTTATTTTCTGTAGCTAGTAAAACAGAAATGAGACTTTGGACACCTCAGGGCCTATTAAGACATTCAAGGGATGATGTATATACATGGTCTGTATCAGATGTGACATGTAGTGGGTATTCAACAGTAACATTTTTGAGGGACAGTCCTGAGGGACAAGACAAGGAAGGACAAGGCGGGGTGCCAAAAGGAATGTTTTTGTTTTTGAGACAGGGTCCTGCTATGTAGTATAGGCTGGCCTAAAACTTATGCCAATCCTCATGCCTTAGCCTCCTGAGTGTTGGGATTACAAGCATGTGTCACCATGCTCTGCCATGATTTTTTTTCTGTTCCTGGAGACTGATGAACACAGGACTTTGCACATCCAGTGAAGTGCTCTATCATTAAGCTATTTCCCCAGCCTCCCCAAAAGAGTGATTCTCTCCACTTCTTGTACAGCAATTAACCACTAAGAAGAATATATGCAGTGTATTATTTGTTGCAACTGAACTTCCGATTGGATTTGAAACTGTCTCATTGCTATCTGTTTATCAATAAAACTTTGAAAAAAAATAAAGTAAAATAAAATGAAATATACATAAAAAAAAACCAAAAACCAAAAGAGTGATTCTCAAGGCAGGATCCCTGGCTGAAGGTTAAAACTCATGTCCAAGCCCTTTACCAAAGGTCACAGGAGGCCAGGCATAGGCAGACATCCACTGCCCACTAACAACCCTGACCATATGACCAAGTTACCAGGAAAAATTCTCTGGCCTACAGAGCTCTTATCAAATCAAGATAACTGGAGGACACAGAGTTGATTTTCAGGACTGGAAAGATGGGATCTACCCTGTTCTACTTCTGCCACTGAGCCTTTGTCTGGCTTGGGCACCTGTCTACCTCCATAAGAGCTCAGGTTTCTCCATAAAACAAAAAAATAGGGAGCTCATCTTTTAGGTCTGGTTCTGTCGTGCTAAGATTTCCCTTTTTTTCTTCGGCAACAAGAACCTTCAGTGTTAAACACAATACAGCTATTGTTCAGTATTTGTGGGAATTGGTTCCAGGAACCCTGGCAGATATCAAAATCTAAGTATATTTAAATACCTTATATAAAACAGTATAGGTATTGTATATAATCTTGTATATCCTCCTGTATATTTCATTTCTGGATTATTTATACCTAATATAAAGTAAATGCTATATGAATAGTTGACATACTATATTGTTTAGGGAAAAATGGCAAGGAAAGTCTATAGGTGTTCAACATATGCTCAGTACTTTTTCTGAGTATTTTCAATACATAGTTGAATTACAGATGCTGAACCTATGATACAAAGGACTAACTATATTGAACTGCGATAATCATTTTGAGTTAGGCTTTGTGCTTTTTATGTCTACTTCCTCCTCCTCCTTCCTTCACTACCTTACTCTCATAATGCTTAGGCCTTAGTAAATCAGTAATGAATGGATGCCACATAGGATTTGAATAAACACTTGATTTTGTTGGTCTTACACATGTAAATTTTAATATATATTTCCCTAAATCTCTGAAAAAAGCATGAACTCTGCAATCAGACTGACTTAGGTTCAAATCCTAGCTCTTCCTCTGACTAGCTGTGCAACCCTGAGCCAGTGCTGCGTTCTCAGCCTCAGTCTCCTCATCTGAAGATGAGGACTGTGATCCCCCCTCCCACTGTGTTAGGACAGAGGGTTGCTGTCAGTGTGAAGGGTTATTGGCGGGCAGTGGGATGCCAAGCTGGGTCACAGGGATGTCACGAAGGGAGGATGATTCCAGAACTCACCCGCAAAACAAACTGAGCAGCCACAGGCTTGTGGTCACTGACTGTGTATTCCATGTGGCTACGGTAGCTGTGTTGGGTCACCTGGAGCCGGTGGCTCTCCCGTCCTGAGGGGCTAGGACCTCCACCTGGAGCCTTGACTTTCCACAGGATACGATCTGTCCAGGCTGGCTTCCGCTTTTTGGCGCTGCGGTGGGCAGGGGTAGCTTGGATTTCAGGGTCTGGGGTCAAGGCAGAGCCCCCAGCCTTGCCTCCAGCCCTTCTTCCCACAGTCTCTAATCGCTAGTGGCCTTCAGCCCCTGTCCTATCCCAGCGCTCACCTGGTATCATATTTGTTGGTACCCACATCAAACTTGAAGGTGGGAGCGAAGTTAAGGGGCCCCTCTTGGAAGCCCTTCAAGATGGGCCAAGTGTTCTTGGCTATGTTGAGCTGAGGGGGTCCAGAAGGACAGAATTAGACTGGAGCTTGAGACTCTCATCATCCAGAGAGGGTGTGGAGCAGGAGAGGGTGAGGACCACAGCCTACGATATACAAGTGTATCCCAGGAAATGCTCGGTGTGCTTGGGGGATGGGGGTGGGGTCAGGATCCCCCACCTGGTCTTTCTCCCAGAGTTGATGGAGCTGATCACTGTCGATAGCGAACTTGACAAAGTGCAGGTCATAACTCTCGATGCGGAAGTTCAGGTCCCCAAACCAGAACACAAGGCTGTGTACAAGCAGGCTCAGTGAGGCCATGGAGTGGAAGGGCTCAACACTGATCCTTCCCAGTCCCCAATCAATCTGACAGCAGACACCTCTAGAGGAGCCAGTAGGTGGGTAGGTGGCACAGCCTTCATCTCCAAGGGACTAAGGGAACGGGGTTAGGTCTAGATGAAATCAGGTTGCAAATGCCCCTCAGCAAAGCTCCACTTACAGGCTCCACCCTTCCCTATCAAACTGCTACCTGTCTTCCTGTTCCTGCAGGTAGTTAGTTTGGGGGCCACTCACCCCAACAGAACTGCTTCTCTCCACAAGCCCCTCCCAGATGGGAACTCTGCATTCCCTCACTAGTTCCACCCAACCTCCATATGGTCACTGGCCATACTCATGATCCAGGATGCCGTGTGCACCGGGTCCCTGGAATTGCTGGAGGCTAAGGATAGTTTGAAAATTGTCCTTGCGTTGCTCTGCTTTGTCCATATGCGCAGGCAAGTGGCAGTTCAGGAAGCAGAGCATGTGTCCGAAAGTTGCTAGGCGCACACTCACACCACCCTTGTTACCCTAGGAAGGAAGAATTGGGTAGGTCATGGGCGGGCCTCGACCCAGAGATGAGGCAAGGAGCAGCGGGGTGTAAGAGAGTGAGAGGGTGGGACAGGGCTGGGTCCTAAGGAGAGACAGGCAGATAAAGGGGGCGGGGTCAAGGGAAAGGGCGTGGTGTTGGGAGGGGCAGGCCATAGGATAAACAAGGTGTTGGGGCTGAGGCCAACCTTTGGGCCCCATCCTCGAAGCCTACTCCCAAGCTCACCCAGTAGCCACCCAGGCCAGTTCGTGTGCAATCGGTCTGCACGTCCCTCAGGAAGGGCAGGTGGTAGTACTTGGCGAATAGCAGAAGAATGACGCCTTGCATCCTCACTGTACTCACCTGCAGGGGAAAGTCGGAGCGGACAAGGCTGGAGGCTGGGGCACAATGCCCTTGCCTAGATCTTGCCTTTGCCTTTCCCAGTCCTTAGGGTCTGTTTCTCCTATTTCGTAGTCCGATAACAGTGGCCCAGCAATCCCTACAGTGAGTCAGGGGAGAGATGGGGCCTGGAATGCAGGAGAGTCCCTGCTCTGTTAAAAGGTGAAGGGGGCGTTACCAGCACGAAATTGAAGGGCCCCAGCGCTTCCATGAATAGCTCGCTCCACTGGTCCGTGAAGAGAGCGTCCTTGAGCCGCTTGTTGATCATGGAATTCACTTCCTGCAACCTAGGGAAGTTGGGGGTTGGGGCAGCCTTGGATTGGAGGGGCATATAGAAACCCCTGTCATATAAGGGGTCCAGAAGGCCCCAAGAATTTGGGGAGGGGTCCACCCGCCCTTCCTCTCACCCTATGGCGATCATGTCTGCACCATCACTGTCATCACCACCTCCCAGGTGGAGGAGCGATGTGACATCGTCTGGAGGCATGGCAGTGCCCACGTTCCATGTGACCACAGTGATCCTGGCAGAAGGGACATAGGAAGATTCACCACTGGGTGCCACTTCCCTACTTTCTCCCTTCCTCCCTTAGGGTTTTTCTAGGGAGGTAAACTGAGGCAGGTGGGGCTATAAGCCCTTAGAAGGACCTGCCGTGGGACCAGTGATCCTCCTATTTACTTTAACCCTGGGAAGGAATGATGTCTTCTAAGGGTCCCAGAGTGAGCCCAGACCCCTCCCATGGGCCAATCCTCAGGAGACAAACAGTCAGAGGCTACCATCACCCTGGAAGGATAGTCAATCTCAAATTCAAGCCCCCAAAACCCTTTCTTAGGAGTGGGCCCCTCACCGGAATCCGGGGTCGCTCTTGCAGGTAGGCTGAGCTGACCAAGAGGAGGATGAAGTAGTTGTAGGAGAGGTGGTAACTGGGGCTGGAGCTTCTCCAGCTTGAAGATTGGAGCTCAGGCCTCTGCCAGGCATTGCACCCTGGTTTCCAAGCCCTGTGCTGTTGGTGCTAGGTCCTATGCCCTGAGTGCCAGGCCCTGTCCTCTGGGTGCCAGGCCTGGGGATAGCGACCTCAGGGGCTGAGGGGACACATGGAGAGCGGCTGGGGGAGCGGCTGGGAGAGCGGCTAGGAGACCGAGGTGGCTTGGGCAGAGCAGGGAGTACTGTCTGGCCTGAGAGAGTTCCTGGTCGGAAGGTAGGGGACAGAAGTCCAGGGTAGCGGGTGCCAGGCTCTGGAGGGCCCTGACCCACATCCAAGGGCAGGTTCTGAGGTGGCCGTGGCAGGACAGGATCCTCAGGGCTGTTTCGGGGAGCTTCAGGCCGAGCTCGGAAGGTCGGGGAGAGCCGGGGATCTGGGGTGGTCTGGATCAAGGATGGGGAAGCTGTAGGACCAGATGCCAGAGCTGGAGGCTGGAGATGCCCCTCAGAAGCGGGAAGAGGTCTGGGGACTGAGGCATCCTTTTGTTTAGCTGCTGTCCATCTTGAAGAAGTGGGTGGTGAGGCCATGGATGCTGGTGTCAGGGTCTGTTCCTGAGAGGGTGACAGAACTGGGCTGGGAACAGGGGAAGGGCTGGATGGGGGTTGATGCGACTCCTCCTGAGAAGCCAGGGTCAGGCTCAAGCTTGAAGCTGCCAATGCTGATTTAGGTTCCAGGGAGGTGGGTGACAACTGCTTCTTGTCTCTGGAAGCTGGAGCCACACTGGTCTCCAGGGCAGCAGGCGAAGGCCTTGGGACAGCTGAGGCAGACACCACCAGCTGCCCCAGAGATGTTGGAGCCAAGACTGCGCTTGAGGTGGCTGGGGAAGGCTTTGGTCCAGCTGAGGCAGACACTACCAGCTGGCCCACACACGTGGGAGCCTGGCTGGAGCTGCGGTGGGCAGGAGCTCTTCTGTGTCCTCCAGGGGTAGACAGTGGAGATAGTTTGGGTCGAGGAGATGCCAGAGCTAGCCTTGGCCCCTCTGAGGAAGGTGACATTGATGCTCGCGGCCCCACAGGTGCCAGAGCCAACCTTGGTTCCAAAGGTCTTGGGGCTGCAGCCTCCTTCACTGAGAGCTGAAAACTTGAGTCCACCTTGTAGAGGACAAGTCAACGACTCAGAGTGACACTTACTAGGGAACCAAAGCTTGACTTCCACACAGACCCTCAGAGACCCCAAAGGCATATTTCTACAAGGAAGTTCGTCCTGCTATCTCACCCCAATCCATTCTGTTGCAGGTCAACTTCTCTGTTGGAGGAGACAGGACATGAAACCTGTCCCCTTCTCAGCCTTCTCTTTCACAGGTGGAGAAACTGAGACCCTGACTTGAATAAGGCAAAATGAATCTGGTCTCTCAGTTCTCCTAGCTGGTATCACTCCCTGCATACTCCCATCAGCTTCCCCACCCCCTCTCCCCAGTCCTAGAAGGTCGTCTAGCCACAGGCACTGACCTGACAACCCAGGTCTGCTTACACTGGGCACAAGACTCCAGCCAATTAAATACCTCTCTTCACCTCCATGGAGCCCAGAAGCCCTCTAGTCACCCCTTACCACCACCACCCAACGTCCCAAACTCAGGTCACCACCCTCTCTGTCATCCATCCCCAAAGCTCCCAGCAGGGACAAGAGCTGGGGACTGAAACCAGCCATCCAGATTCCCAGCCCAGCTCTGCATGACCTTAGTGAAGCCTCTCTGCCCAAGGCCTCAGGTTCCCTGCCCATAAATGAAGAGACTGGATGCAGGGTACTTGACCATAGGTCTCCCTGAGGAGTCTTGATCTCAGATTCTCTACGTTCATGAGCCCACCATTTGCTGTACTAGAATTCCAGGGAGTGCTGTGGCACTAGCCCATTCTCTCCAAGTGTGGTTGTACCATTCAGAACAAGTTGATCCTGGCCTTGCACCTCACGGTGCCCAGGTGGTACCCTCTTACCCCATCTACCCTCTCCCCCTGGGGAGGGCAGGCAAGCAAGCACCCCCTTATATCTGGCAGGTGGTGGTGGGGCTGCAGGGGCTTGCTCTCCTTTCCCCACTCATCCTCTGTTTATGGTGTTCCTTGTCACCAGAGGATAGGATAAGGTGTCCTTTGCCAGGGAGGACAGAAGGTCTACCTTTGCCCCAGGGTGCCTGGATCCCTGTGTCCAGAGATGCAGTTTTTTCTGTCTTGTGTCCTTCTCGGTTCAGAGAACCTGAAACTGCCTCTACCTCCTTTTCCAAACTCAGCTCTTTAGGCTGCATTGTAGACCTCTTCCTTGGCTCCAAGTGTCCCACTGTGTGCCCCCTCCCCCTCAACCACCATACCGCCTCCAGCACTAACAACTTAGACATCCCAGATGTCACAGTTTTAGTCTTCAGAGAAAAGCCCCCTCATTTTGCATTGGCTCAGAAAAGACAAACAACTTGCCCAAGGTCACACGGCAAAGCTAGAGAACAGCTGGGTCCCCTGATACCATAGTCCAGGTCCCAGGCTCTCCTGGGGTCTCCTGCAGATGACTAACTCTGCCTCTTCTTGGGCATCTCATCATTTCCCCTCAGTGTCAAGGGTGACCTCTTTGCCTGGACCCTTCATGGTGTGCACAGGGGAGTGCCACCCCCTTAGCCAGGGCATCAGGGTGTCTGCAGTGTATATGTGTGGGGTGTGAGACTAGGGATCCAGCATGCGGGCGTCTAGGTTTTGGGGTTCTTACCTTGGAGGGCGTTCCAGTTTGAGAAATCCCATGAGGTACAAGTAAGGAGCCCAGGCCAACCCGGGTCCCTGGCTTCCCACTGCTGCCGCCACCGTTCTGGCCCTCCATGTCTGCAGCCCCCAGCAGCTCAGGCTCCCTCGGGCTCAGGCTCCAGCTCCTCCGCTCCCGGGAACCGTGATGTCATCAGCCACTTCAACCTGCTGAGAATTTAAAGGCACAGGCGCCTACTTCCTAGCCTGGAGGTGGCCAGAGCAAGGTGGCTACCCTCTCTGTGCGTTCTTCAAGCTGGTGCTGAGGTTGGAACAGCCATGGGGCCTGCATGTGCCCATCAGCTCAGCTTAGCTCCCAACTGGAAGCCTGGAGGAGGCTCCACTGTTTGCTCTAACCCTCACCCCTGTAGGCCTGGCAAACCTCTGCTCCTGGGAGGAGCACTGACATACCTGCGAGGCAGGTGGTTCAGTGGTCTGGCACCCTCTCCAGAGCCTCAGAGGCACTGACTCCCTACCCTGGTCCTGCCTCCTCACTCTGGCAGCTCAGGCCTTGCCTTGGCCCTCACCCTTGCTCCATTTTCAGGCCTGGTACCTGCTCCCCGGCTCTCCCACACCGCACACCTTCTCCATGGCTTTATTTTTCTCATTCCAGAATCAGACACTCAAGCTCCAGCCACTGGCATCCTCTCCTGTCTCGATCTCAGCACTAACCCCTCTTCTTTTGCAGAAACCTTGTTGCCCTCAGCTGTCCCCACACCCAGCCTGTCTCAATGCAGCTCCTTTCAGCTCTTCTCTCTCTACTACCCTGGGTGTGGTTCAGGAAGGAACTTGCTCAAGGTTACTTAGTAAACGAAGGAGGTCTCCTAATGTTGACAATGAAATTGGTGGAGTGGTGGAGGTGATAACAAAGGCACAGCAGGTGGGAGGGCTGCAGTGATGGTAATAGAATGAAGGGATAGTGATGAGGGTGGAGGTGAGACAGGAGCTTAAGAGATGGTGAGGGCATGGTGCTGATGGATGCAGTGGTTGGCAGCAGAGTTGGAGGGGAAGATAGAGATGGTGGCAAGGGAGGGTATAAGAGGGGACATAGTGGTAGTACTCAAGTCACCATAAAGCAAATTTTGAGCTCACCTCAGCCAGTCCTTTGACTCTCACTTTACAAGTCTTGCTTGAGTTCAATCCCCTGTTCCGGAAAAAAAAAAAAAAAGAAAGAAAGAAAGAAAGAAAAAAAAGAAAAGTTAGGTCCCCCAAGATTATCCCCCTTTAATGCAATCTTTGGAGGGATAAGGAGGCAGATCCAGGCCCCAAGGACCAGTCCCAGGGTTGGGATAGGGACACCAAAACCTTTGGGAAGCTTGCCAAATATCATGCAAAGGGGTGTGCAGAGATCTCCTCGGCCCCAGGGACCACCACTCCCCAAGCTCCTGGCTCATATCCTGGAGGAGCCTTTGTTTCTGGCCTTGACACTGACTTACTGGGAGAAGTTGCTGAAATTACTGATTTGTACAAAGGAGAGAGAAACAATAGGCACCTCTTAAGTTTACTGTGAAGACTAAATAAGATAGTACATTTGAACTGCTCAGCCCAGAGCCTAGCAGAGACAGACTCTCAGTAGGCTCCTCAGCTGTCATCATCCTCATCCTCACACTCATCCTCTATTGCAGCCCACCCATTTGGTGGATGCTGAAACTGAGGCTTAGAATTGTTGTATTCCTGGGAGGAAGGGAAAGAGGAAGGGGGTGGTGGGGGGCGGACCCTGGTTGAGAAGGGAGGGGGTAGGAGCTATATTTGTTCTCCTGGTATGATGACTAAGGAGGTTGATAACAGGCTCTAAGGCTCAGGGCGGCAGGCCGGGGGCAGCTGCCAAGGAGAACCGCCCCCCTGGAGATGGCTGTCTCCGGAGGCCTCTCCTGGCTCTCTTGTTCTGTCCCTCTTCAGGGCTTCAGGGTGGCGTGGTGGACCCAAAACAAGGTTACAGCTTATCCAACTCCTTCTGGAAACTCGTGGGGCTCCCTTTCAGGTGGTTTGGGTCAAGGATAAGCAGGGAAAATGTTGATGGTTGGCAGATTATCTGTCACTCTCCATAGTTACTTGGTGAGTCCCCATTTGACAGAAGAAATGGAGGCCCCAGAGAGGATGTACCACAGAGGTACTCTGAGAGAGGTAGTGGATATTTCTTCCCTGCCCAGAAGGTGATTGTTAAACTCCTTCCTGGAAGGAGAGTCTATGCTACCAACTGGAAGATGACAAGTGCCCTGGGGAGCAGGAAAAAAGTAAGGTGTAGAGATTTGGGTGTGGAAGGTTCTGCTTGTGGGAGGATGCAAAATCTGGCCATGTCTGCCTGAGTATTGGTTCAGGCTAAACACACCATGATGCAGAAGAGAGGGAAGTCTTTTTTCTTCTTTTCTGCTTGTCTACTTCACTTCTTCCAGGGACACTTGAAGATAGCACAGAAGAATCTGTCTTTCTTTTCTTTCCCTGGTGCCTCTGAGCCAGACCCACCTCCATCAGGGAGGTCATACTGAAATTCCTACGTGGGAAATGTCCAGTGATTTGTAGAGGGTGACATGAGGTATTGTGGGAAGAATCAAGGAGGATGAGGTAAACAGATCATAAAGGGGCACTGCTTCTCCCGAGACTTCCCTGTGATGCTTCTTGCTGGTAGACAGTGGTATTTGTTATGTCTCTGGCCCTTTTCACTCTCTGGGGCAGGTGTCATCCTTTACCCTTTGATGTGCCATTTAGGAAAAGAGCTGGAGGTAGAGGGGTGACTTTTCCAAGGTCACACAGCTGTGGCTGAGCTCAGGCATCCCTCCTTCCTCTCTTCAGCTCCCCCTCCTCCCAGGCAGCCTGGCACCCGCTGTCAGCTGCTCTGAAGTGAGTGGCTATTTTTATTCTGGTGCGAGGGGATCTCGAGCAGCAGAGCCATGTAGGTTAGAAGGCTCTAGGACACCAGCCTCAGTAGGTAAGAGAAAGCCTACTGCAGGGACCAGACCCTGTGAAGCTTGCCTGAGGGTTCTCACTTCTGACAGACTGACCTATCCTGGGCTTTCCCATCTCGAGAAATTTGTTTATTGGAATCCAGAACAGAACTCTGGTTGTGGCCCTGATCCCACAACTAACTTGTCTTCTAATGATTTGTTGACTGAGCCCTGGTGCCATACAAAGGCAGAGTCTCTAGACTGAATTCTGTCACCCTAGAATGACCCCTGGCTAGTCATGTATTGAGCTGTGATCCAAGACTGACAAAAGACTAATCTCACCTTGAGACCTTGATTCTGACCTCAGATTCAACCTGTATCATAGACTAAGTTTAAGCCCTAATCAGACCGATCTGTAAGCTCAGTCCAGAGTGACCTCTGTTTTGAACTGAACCTTCATTCTGGTGGAAGATTAAACTCATCTTGGCCACAAACTAAGCCCTGAGCTTTACCATTGCTTGAGCCCTGATTTCAGGTTAAAATCTGATCCTCACTCTTTTTTTTAAAAAATTTTATTTATGTGTGTGTGTGTGTGTGTGTGTGTGTGTGTGTGTGTGTGTGTGTGGCCAGCTCAGCCCACCACGGAGTGGGGCTGGCTGGCATGTGGTGCTGGGAGATTGAACCACGGTCCCTGTGCTTTAGCTTGTTCTAAGTAGGTGCTTTAGACCACTGAGCCATCTCACCAGCCCCGTGATCCTCACTCTTAAAAGCTCTAGCTACTCTGGTCACACGTCCTGACCTCCAACTTTCCCCTGAATCTAGTCCAAGTCTGAGCTCTGAGCTTAGTCATGGGCTGAGCTACCACCCTGGTCACACTGAGCCTTGATCCTGGTCATAGACTAAAAAGTAAGCCTAATTATTGACTGAGCCCTGACTCCAGTTCAGACTCAGTTCTAAACTTGACTTTAAACCAAGGGATGACCCTGATTCTGTCTGAACCTGACTCCATTGCAGACTAAACTCCAATCCTAGCCCTACCCGAGGAAGGCTGATGGCCTAGACTACATGCAGCCGCATAAGGAGTATAAATTAGTAGCAGAGATCTCTCCTGAGAGATCCACGTGCTGCTGTCGCCAGGATATTTCTGGTAATACTGTGGCCACTGTCTCCACTGCTGATTCCTCTGGCTGTCTGGTCAACCCTCAGCAGCCCACACTATGGCTCCACAGGCCACAGTGTCCAGGTTAATGCAATGAGAGTGATTCGATGGCATCTGTCCAGTGAACAAGGGCCCACAGGGCCCTGGAGTTTGGCTTTGTCAGCAGAAAAACCACAGGCTGTGGCTTTCGTCACTCTGAGGCCCCTGCTGGGGTGAGGTTGAGATAGAGGGAGCCACTGGGATATGTTCCATTGTTTTTGTAAATAAAGCTTACTTTTTTTTTTTTTTTTATTTTAGGGAAGGGTCTACAGGGTGTTCAGGGTCTTACTACTAGATCAGACTCATAATGATTCTCCTGTTTACAGCCCCACAAGTTCTGGGATTACAGGTACGTGCCATTATGCCCAGTCTCAAAGCTTACTATTTGTGTTTAGTTAATGCATACTTATAAGAAATACAGAAAATTATAAAGGAGAAAGAAATTCATTTATAATTTTATCTACTAAGAGATGACCATGTTTACTATTTCAATTGCTTCTTTCTAGGTATATTTAGGACTAGTCACGTATATTTATATATACATATTTTCCAAAATTGGTTGGCCACTTGCTGCCATCACCACATTCATTGTAGTCCATCTCCTTAACAGGAACCCAAACATGACTGACCCCGCCTGAAGCTTCAGGAGGGGGTCTGAATGGGTTAAGCTAATGAGCAATTCCCAAGGCAGGTGATTGGATCATGGGGGGAACTAGTGAGATGTAAGGAGACTTTTGCTGAGGATTTTGGAAAGAAAGCTTGTTTTCTTTCCTGAGGAGGTTACCAAAAAAAGATGAAAGACAACCCCACCCCCATTTGGTATGATGAAGGAACCCATGCTTCTAATTACTGTTGTCAGCCAATCTTCTTTTTTTTTTTTCTCAGTATCTTTGTTTTGCAGTATCGGGGATTGAATTTGGTACCTTGTGCTTGCCAGGGAGGTGCTTATGCCGCTGAGTATATCCCTGGCCCATGTCAGCCAATCTTGACAACATACAGATCACTGATCTAAAGACAAGCTGACAGTATGAAAAGTAGAATTGAGAGAGACCAGGTCTTGGTGACAGCATCAGGTGGACCTTCTCTTACTTAAAGCCCTCCTACTACTGAACTTTTGAAAAATTATTTGAGCAGACAGAGTGGCACACACTTATAATCCTAGCATTTGGGAGGCTGAGGCAGGAAGAGGGTTGTGAGTTTGAGGCCAGCCTGAGGTATATAGTGAGACACTAACTCAATAAAACAAAACAGGCTGGGGATTTGGCTCAGCAGTAGAATGCTTTCCTAGCAAGCTTGAACCCCTGGGTTTGGTCCTTGGCACCAAAACCAAAACAAAACAAAATTTATTTGAGCTAGTTGGGCATGGTAGTACATGACATCCCAGTATTCTGGGAGGTTGAGGTAGAAGGATCAAAAATTTGAGCCCAGCCTGGATAACAGTGACTTCATGAAAACCTGTTTCAAATAAAAAAATGAAAACAAAGGGATAGGGATTTATCTCAGTGTGAAAACACTGGGTTCATTTTCCAGTACTGCCAAAATAAGTCAATAATTGAGCCATCAGATTTCCTTTATTGTTTAGATCAGTTTAATTTGATGCCTCAGTGATTTGTAATCTTAGAGGATGACGACTCTC